CATCAGCAGGAGAGGACTCTTCAAGGTAGAGACACTACATACTGATGTACACCTGAACATCAGCAGGAGAGGACTCTTTAAAGTAGAGACACTACACACTGATATACACCTGAACATCAGCAGGAGAGGACTCTTTAAAGTAGAGACATATACACCTGAACATCAGCAGGAGAGGACTCTTTAAAGTAGAGACACTACATACTGATATACACCTGAACATCAGCAGGAGAGGACTCTTTAAAGTAGAGACACTACATACTGATATACACCTGAACATCAGCAGGAGAGGACTCTTTAAAGTAGAGACACTACATACACATCAGAGGAGGGACTCTTTAAAGCTACACACTGATATACACCTGAACATCAGCAGGAGAGGACTCTTTAAAGTAGAGACACTACATACTGATATACACCTGAACATCAGCAGGAGGGATTTCCTAAAAGTAAAAATAATATCCCAATTTGGAATCAATAAAGCACATTTAACCGTCTTTCTAAAACTGAAAATGTGTGACATCACCTTGACTTCCTGCCAGTAGGGCCCCCCCCTGGTGTACAGGAAGTAGGTGTAGATGTCATCTTTCTGGTGAGAGAAGTACGTCTCCGTGGAGATGTTGATCATCCACGGCCGGCCGTCTCCCCTCACTCGGAGATGCAGGGTGTTGAAGCTGGACCAGTCATAGTGCTTCTTCCTGTCAAATGAAGCCTAGGAGAGACGGAAAGGGAAACTGTTTTAAGAGCTGACACCAATATTCATTTAGGAAAAGTGGAGAATGGACAGGACTTAAGTGTGGGCCGTCTTTCGGTCAAATACAAACGTATGATATACCAGAGAGTAGGGACAAGTCCGTGTTGGAAATAAATAATAATGAAATTAGCAGCTTGTATTTATTTGTACAATTATCTGTTAGCATGGCAAATATATATAGATATATTGTTGAAGGTGTTCCAGGAGTTGTTGTTATAGAGTTTAATTTTGTAACTGCTTTGTATTTTTAAACCAATTAAATACCTCTCTTTGTAAGACAGTGAAAAGAGTGTAAGGTCAAAACAGAGAGGAAGACCCCCCAAATAATAAAAATAAAAACAAATATTTTTTTTTAAATTTAAATCTATAAAGTCACGCTGAAATATTTCAGGGAAAAAAAATTCCAGATAAAAATCCATCTTCATATGAAAAAGAAACTAGCAAAAAAAGATCAATAAAAGTAGTTAATTTAACTTTAATAACATGTTCAACAAATGTTATTTCCAAAGACGCCTCCTCCATAGCCAAGAATACAATTCTGTTGGGGAAATACTGAAACCTTCTTCAAGTATTGTAAATAAAAAAAATATTGAGTTCATGTTCGGTACATTTTTTTTTTTTTATAGGTACAAGTGAAAAGTTCAAGCATTTTGAAGGTACTTTATTCAGTTGTTTCCAGACTTTAAAGGTCCCATGTCATGCTTTTCTGGTTATACCAGAGTACACCCTGTAGCGAGTAAAACTCTAACACAGAGAAGACCTGTCTGTGCTGCCCCAGAACGCCTCGTTGGACATTTCTCTTTTTCCAGGTTCCCGGAACCAAAATGGACCAATCCGCGGAGCTCCTCACACACCAGGACCTTTAGCGTACATTTTCCACTAACAGGGCGTCCCATTGACTTGCATAGAGCTCCCTTGTTGGTAATAGACGAGTTGGGATGGCGGAGAAATTCCTCTCCGCAGACCCATTCTCACAGCGCTATAAACCTTTTTCTTACTCAATATCAAGCCACACTTATTGTTTTTACTTCGGCTGTTAGTGTTTGTGTGTGCTCAGGATGAGTTTTGCGCTGTCTCGCTGACCCGGAAACCACACCAGTAAGCCAGCTCACTGAGCAGCGAGCCTCGCAACGTCCTGACCAATCAGAGCACAGTGGGCTCACAGGGAGGAGGGGCAGGAGCTCCAACAAGCCGTTTAGGACAGAGAGTAAATACACAGACTATACAGAGATGCTGTATGAGAAACCAATGTGAGTTTGGAACATTGTACAGTTTAAATCTATTCTAGTAGATCTCAACAATGGAAATATGATCAGTAGAAATGGCCATGACATGGGACCTTTAAGCCTCTATAATTGCATCTAAAATGTTGCTAGAAATGAAGCTGCAAGTTTACAGAATTCCTTTATAGAAAATGTGATGACAGTATTGTTTCATTTCAACTGTCAGGATTTTGTTTGAACCCTGTGATTTGTACAATTAAAAATCCAGAGAAAATAGTGGCAGTAATGACTAATTAATGAATATTAAAGTTATACATGATGCATACACGTTAGGAGGGTAAGTCTTTAGGGCTCTAACCTTGGGTATCTTTGAGCGCATGTTGCAGTATCCGCTGAACCGCGTCTCTCCGTCCCTCGGGACGGTGGAGCTCAGCTTCCCGTGCAAGAAGCAGGTGTTATCATTCCTGCTCATCTTCAGGTGAGCTTCACTCTGACCTCCGATCTCCTGATCCGAGGAAACCGTCCACTGCTCAAGGCTCTCCGGACCCCTGAACTCCCAGATCACCAGGTTCTGCTCCAGGAGGTGTTCGCTGAGCGGTTTTCCCTCCGGACCCACCCAGCGCCCGAAGAACTCGTCTTTCATCAGCGTGAAATGCTTCTTGATGCCCTCGATTCCCTTGGAGAAGTTGAAGTTGAGGGGTTTTTTATTTTCTCTGGGCTGGCCGGGGCGTCTGTAGTCCTTCTGGATCTTAGTCCTGCAGGGGATGGTGAGAGGGGTGAGAGGGGGGAGCAGCAGCTGATGATGGGGGAGGACGGAGGTCAGCAGCCTCGCTGAGGGGAGGCGGGCCAGCTTAGGAAGAGACATTTCAGTCGGGACGATTCACAGCTGGGATACAGAGCAGAATGAGGGCGTTATTACACATTACACGGTAAGGATCAAGTCAAAGTCAACTTTATTGTCAATCTTTCAGTTTGTGTGTACAGACAGAGAGATCGAAATACCATTTCCCACAATCCCAAATATCAAAA